CAGTGAAGGACAGGAAGGCCTGGCGCAATATGGTTCATGGGGTCACGAAGAGTCGGACACAACTTAACGACTGAACAAAAATGTTGCTTTGGCTGCTTTCACTTCTTGGCCAAAAAAAAAAAAAATAGCATATAAATATAATACATGGTAATAGAAGGATTATTGTTTTGAATGTTAGTTTTATTTGAGTAATTTGACCTGCATCAAAAGTGCAATTTCTAGGTTACAATAAAAAAAGTAAATAATTATATTTCAATTAAATCTTTTTAAACAATTGTTCGTTTGATACTTGCAAGATGTCTGTCTATTCTTCCCAGTTAAAGTATTGAAATACCGAATCATTTATAGCATATACTAGAAATCCAAACAGAAAACAATCTGGTACTAGAATGTCCCATTATTTTTAAAGAAACCTGATGGATTTGTGATTTGCAAAGTCAGCAGATTACCTAGTACAGCCAACACTAATATCCAAGCACGTAAAACACCTTGGCTAAATTTCTGAACACAAGGAGCGTAACAAGACTCGAGTTTAGCTTTTTGATGACTAGAATCAGTGTGATATCAAAACATGTTTCAGGACAGTGTATTGATATTCTGTGTTATCATGTTTCTGGAAATGAGAAATTGATTACATAAATTACAGTGGCTTTCTAAACCCTTGGGTACTTAAAATTAAAATAACATTATTCATCCAGCTGTTCTGAAATCCCTCAGATTTAAAATGTGCAAATCAGGAAAAATCAAATTAATTTTGGTGTTTTAAATGTGAGGGAGAATAATAAGCTCATATATTGATATTTATATAATTGTAGTTTTTAATGGTAATAAAAAATAGTTAACTCAGTATTGCCTGCCGGTATTGGTTTAAGAGAAGACTCTACTATATAACTGAATGAGAATACTGCTTGTTATCATGGGAAAAAATGATTTGGATGACTTACCTATATATTCTCTCCAAACAAAATATTAAGCTGCATATGGCTTTGAGCATCATTCCTAGTTTCAAATAATGAAAGCAGCATTATGTATATCTGGGAGGAAATTATGCCTTTTTCTGTTTCTATTCCCTTCCTTACGTGGCAGTCAGCTGGCTCCTAGCTTTGTATTTGTGGTGATGGGGCAAAGGGATGATAAGTGAAGCTATAATATTTATATCAGCCAGTTTTAAATTAAGATACAGTGAGGGAGAAAACCCAGTTTTGAAACTCTGTTACTTTGAAATGCTTATTAGAAATTTTACATGTCTTACTAGAGTGCCAAGATGAAGCAATGGCACAGCACATCTTCCTGATGTGCTAATTTTCAGAGAGAGAGAGAGAGAGAGAGAGAGAGAGAATTATTATAAAACACAAGTAGTACATTATATTGTTTGGGTACAGTGGTTTTTATATAGTATTGACTAAGATTACAGATAGTCCTCAGTTAACAACCACTCATTCAGCGACCGTTAGAAGTTGCGACAGTACTAAACAAGTGGTACTTATGACTGGTCCTCAAAGTTCCAGCTGTCTCAGCATCCCTGCAGTTAATGTTGATAAGCATAAAGTTGCTTACATTTTACATTGAGAGCTGAGTGTAACACTGATAAACTGCAAAATAAATTATTTGTTACATAATAATGGTTTCTATCTTAAGTTTAATACTTAATACTGAAGTCTCCACAGTAGTATTATTGTTTATGCGTATTAGAACTGATGTGCTAATTTTCTGTATTGTGAGATTATTTTTACTTTTTTGCTCTGGAATAACATTAAATTTCATGTTCCCATGTTTCATTTATGTTGAAATATATGGTTTGAACACCAGTTTCTCACTTGATTAACCAGTTTATTTGAGATGGTACATTCTGGCATTCCTTATTAAAGGACATTTAGTAAGAGGCTCCCCTTCATGAGTCATTACATTGTAACGGTGAAGGGGCTTGTGTATTTCAGTTATACTGTGAGCTATTACTGTTGAAGATACCTATGATGGGTATGTCATATAAGAGCTAATAAGGAAATGGCAACACATTCTCCTACTCTGTAAAATGGGCCAAGTGAACATTCCGAATCAAGTCAACTCCAGCATGATTCTGGAAAATCACTCCTCCCCCAGCCCCCGCCAAGATTGGAAGGTCTCCAACAAGCAATTAAAAAAGAGCATGTATGTATGAGTATCACTGGTGTTTATGAAGTGGCTGGATTAAGTCCAAAAGAATGTCCAGCATTGATACATGGGATGTCAGAACCATGAACTAAGGTGAACTTGTTACTGTCACAGCAGAAGTATCAAGACTGAACATTGGCATTCTATGATTCAGCAAACTGAAGTGCATTGGGAGAGGTCACTTCACATCAGAGAGTCATAGATCTTCTACTGCAGACAAGAAAATCATAGAAGAAGTGGAATAGCCATCTTTATTAACAAAAAAAGTGCTCAGATGCAGCCCCCAGAATGATAGAATGAATTCAGTTTGAGTTCAAGGCACTAAATTATGTTCTAACCACAGATGCAGAGGAAACAGAAGTTGAATAGTTCTATGGCAACTTGTAGTACCAGACAAAGATGTCATTCTAATTATAATACTGCTAACACTGAAAGTAAAATAGCAACTGGAATAACAGGAACATTTGATTTCAGTGTACAGAACAATGCAGGAGACAGACTAATAGAGTTTGCCATGAAAATTCAATACCAGAACCTCTTCCAACAAAAGATAAAAGATAAGTCATTGTATGGACATCATTAGATAGATAACACTGAAATTAAATTGTATACCCTTCAAGCAAAGCTACATTTAGTCAGCAAAAATCAGACCTGATGCTAACTGTGGATCAGATAAAAAAGGTGGTAAGTTACTGATGATACAAGTATGAGCTCACAAGAACTTG